ATCATTCAAGCCTCAAAAGAACACCCTGAATCTTATGGCTAGTGAAAATTATCCTTCGCAAAAAGTCTTGTTTTATAGCGGCTCCTTGTTAATAAGTAAATATTCGGAAGGCTATCCAGAAAGTCGTTATTATCAAGGCTGTAAGTATATTGATAAAATAGAAAATTCGGCAATTGAATTAGTGAAAAAACTTTTTGCTGCCGAACATGCCAATGTACAACCCCATTCGGGGGCTCAGGCTAATCAGGCTGTTTATTTAGCTCTTTTAAAACCAGGGGAAACCATATTAAGTTTAGATTTATTGGCCGGCGGGCATTTGACACACGGAGCCAAAGTTAATTTTTCGGGGTCTATTTATCAGGTTTATCATTACAATTTAAATCCAAACACGCAAAAGTTAGATTATGAACAAATTAGGGAAAAAGCCCGAGAAGTGCAACCAAAATTAATAATTGCTGGTTATAGCAGTTATAGTTTACAAATAGATTTTGCCAAGTTTCGAGAGATTGCCGACGAGGTGGATGCCTATTTACTGGCTGATATTTCTCACGTGGCTGGTTTAGTAATTGCCGGCTTATTTCCTAACCCCGCCCCTTATGTCGATGTAATTACTTTTACTACTCATAAAACCCTCCGCGGACCACGGGGGGCAGTAATTTTGACCACAAAAGAACTCGGACCGAAAATTGACCGAGCAGTTTTCCCCGGTAATCAAGGCGGACCAGCCCAAAATATTATTGCCGCCAAAGCCCAATGTTTTGCCGAAGCCTTACAGCCCAAGTTCAAAAATTATCAAAAAAGAGTATTAGAAAATGCCAAAATTATGGCTGATTACTTTTGTGAAAAAGGAGTAAAGGTAATTAGTGGTGGCACCGAAACCCATTTATTAACTATTAATACCAAAGCCAGTTATAATTTGACTGGCAAGGAAGCCGCCGAACTCTTAGAAGAAGTGGGAATTGTCTGTAATAAACAAATGATACCTTATGATACCGAAAAGCCTTCAATTGCTAGTGGCATTAGACTTGGCTCGCCGGCTTTAACCACTCGGGGACTAGAAAAAAAGGAGTTTTTGCAAATTGCCAAAATAATTGATTTGATTTTGCGAAATTATAAAGATAGAAAAATAACAAAAAGTGGAAAAAAAGAAGTTTATTATTTAAGCCAAAAATTTCCTTTATTTTAATAATAAAAAATTTGTATTTGGTTCCTCGAAACGAGAAATGACATATAAGAAATTTTCTCTCCTTTTTCCTACTCGCGAAAATACCAAACAAGAAAACCTACATAAATAGGCAAATAAATAAAAAAGAAAAAAATTCACTCCGGTTAGTTTATAGGCTTTTAAATTTCAAA